AAGCCACCATGATGACAGTGCGTAGTGTGAGTTTCGGTGTTGTCAAGTGTGGTAGGACTGATCCAAAAGACTGAAAGAATGGTCGTCAGTTGACCTGCAAAAGACGATATGTTGTTTTTGTGGTATCGAGTGGGAAAGTGCACAAATGCGCAAGTGGTTGTGTCAAAGTAAAAGGTTGGCTAGCAACGAATGTGGAAGAAGGTAGTTGGGGATGGTATTGTGAGCGTGAATAAGAAAAAGCTCTCAATAACAGTAAAGAATGACTGTGAACAATAAGAAGTGAAGCAACACAATGAGTGCTGAAAGGGCGTGACAGCGAACCTGCGTGAAGGGGAGAGGCTCAGGGAGGGGGCACTGCAGCCTTGTATAAGTACGAGATGTGTAGGCGGGGGGACTTACAAAGGACTCGTGTGGCCAATCGCGTTTCTGGAGACGACTTGTTTCACGTTTGGAAAGAGGGGCGTGTGGTGTTCGCTGTCCTGGTCTTGCACCATCTTGCCCAGCCCTGAATAGATGTGTATGTGTTGTACATTCTTGGACGCTGCTGTGACGGCTGTCTTTGATAGCCTCTTCATCATACCTCTGCGCGCTATCACGCTCGTACAGAAGCTCATGGCTTTCTGGTATTCCATGATGAGGCCTTGTGGCCGCATCGGTAAGCCGCATGGCCGCCTCCTAGAGTTATCCTCGGAACGCGTAGCCTGAACGTAGCCCAGTCCCGGTGGCGTAGATCCAAAATTACTTAGGGTGTGCACTAATCGAGAGGACGGCAATATTCCCGTAGAAGGCTCTCTCCGCGTGAAACAAGCGGGCGTTGTAGGCCAGTGAGTGGTGGAGGATGTTCTGAGGGTGGAAGGCGAGCGTTTGTCCCTGGATCCAAGACAGGGGTGTGGTTGGCAGCGCCACTCCCGACGGTCGGAGGTGCGACGGCACTGAAACGCCAGGGCATCGACAGGCCCTCGTTGGCCGTTTTTGGAGATGAAGCCTTATGCCAGCGCTTCAACGCCGCATGCAAAGAAGGCGCCATTCGACGCTACGCTCCGGGAACAATCCCATGAGGATGCATCCATGTGCTGCTGCGAATCACCCATCCACGTCAAGGGCCCGCAGCAGGAGTCATGGGCATGGGCAGCAATTCACCCGACCGCGAGGCTGCTATTGCTGCTGCTGCTGCTGTTGCTGCTCCTGCTTGTGCATAGTATACCCCCACACAGTCGACTGGACATGGAAGAGCCTGGTCACGTCAGTGACGAACGATGTGCGCGACGTTGGATGAGCCTTGCGGGTGCAAAACAAAGATCAAAGAAACACTCTCCGTCGCGGCTTTGCGCCATGCCCCACGTAAGCACCACATGATGCAGGTACGCAGATTATCGCATCCCGTGGCATGCCAATCGCCGCCTGAGGCTCACACGAAACGGCCTCTTTGTTTCGCGCTGCCACTGGGCATGGTACTTTTTTTTCATTTCAACCAAAGTGGAGCGGTGGGTCATGGGTATTGTTTGCATGAAACGCTTAAGTTTAGCCATCTATCACCCGACGCCTAGGTATGCAGATCCCTTGAGCTTAGTAGAACCTTGATATACATCTTATCATATCGCCTTCGGTATATTGTACTCTGCTTCGCCAGGCGAGAATTATTCAAAGGCAAATAGGCGAGTCTGGATCGCGTGTACATGTCACCGTGCAGACAATATCCAGTGCCATTTATAAGCCTACCAATGGTTTCCAATAAACACATCTCCAGTTCGGCAAGTCTCTTACACTACTCAAACAGGATATACCAATCGTTCACCACAAGGCCTTTGCTTCCTCTTCTTGGCTAGCGGGCCGCTTGGTGCTATGTCCGCCGTTAGCCTCCTCGCTCAACATGCGGCTAATTACATCGGCAAGTCGCTGGATGCCTTCTGCGAGCATATCTATTTCCTCCCACTGCCAACAAGTTAGTCCAAACCTCGAGTTGCAGCTATCGACTCGTACCGCAAAGCAGACTCTGATGTCGTTGCTGAAAGATGTGCCTTTGTGTTTAGTGTCGCCAGGTACCTGTGTCAATTAGCACGAGGATAGGGCAGCGGAGAAGACGACTCACTTCGAACATTTCGCCCTATGCAACCACCATAATTAGCCATGCACATGTTGAGGGCCGGAAATATGATGGAGGCTTATGCTTACTTGTGCAACAGCTAAGTTGTCATCCTCCTTTGCACGTTGTGCTACCTCGGCGCCCTTCAGTGGCGCAGGCAGTGTGAGCCAGATGAAGTATCCGCCCACCACTTCACGATCAGTCTGCGGGACACGAACACCTAGGGGAAGGAGATATTTGTTGATGGCTTCCATCATATGCCTGTACCGATCGCCATATGCGGGTTGAAGCGTGTCGTATACGTAACGCTGGAGTTCGCCAGTCTCCAACGTCTCAGCCACACAACAAGCTGTCAGCTGACTGGGTGATCCACCTGAGCGGCTCGATCCTCTACAATAACGTTAGCTATTACTAGCTCATATAGCGAGATGCGGATTCACCGGTGCTAGCCTGCCATTTTACAGACCAACCCGGATATGATTGAATCCATCTTGATATTACACGGGCATAGACTGCTAAAAAAAAACACCCAACAAGAACAAGAGAACATGAGTGTGAATGGAACTCCTGAAAAGACAGGCTTACGTTTGTGAAACAGCATAGGCCAGTTTTGGAGTGCCCTCACACCAACCCGTGCGGAGGCCTGGACCACAAATCTTGGAGAAGGAGCCATTGGAAACGGCATTGCCAAACCCATCTGCACCTTGTCTTTCGGCACCACCACCGAGGTATCGATCCACATCTACGATGCGAGGCAGACTGGCAGTCTCGATTGAAAGAGTGCTAGGGGTGAGACTGGATGGCCATTGAAGAAAGTCATATACGTCATCTGTGATGATAAGAGCATCATACTCTCTCGCCAAATTCACGAGTTCTTCTCTTCTCCGCAAGCTCATTGTTCTGGAACTAGGGTTAGAGAAGCCTGGCACAGCATATATGATGTGTTTGTATATTTTGTTGAATGGACGTGGAGGCTTCAGAAGCTGATGATGTTGTCAGTGGATGTATGCAAAAACAGTTCAGCTTGTGAGATGTCACGGGCTGGAAATCAACATTGGCCATGAGTTTCGATAAGAGAAAAAGAGAGAGAGAGGGTTTGCAAATGGACCACACTACAAGACACGGAAAAGAAAAATATACGCACCGGCTCATTGTTGTTCTCTGCAATTGCGTTATCTTCACTTTTTTTCATCTCACTTCTCAAATAGCCCATGTCGATGCCTTGGTCATCTTCGGGAACGGCCCGAAGCTTTTTGTGGAAGCCAGCATCTTCGAAAATGCGAAAGGCCAGCATGTACGCCGGTGCTACGATCCATATGTTCCTCGTATACAGAGGGTCTGTGAAGTCTTGGAGTAAGCAGGCCAAGTTTTGCGAAGCGCCCCCGGAGATGCATATTCGCTCTGTAGACACTGGGTCGGCTGGCTTGTAGAAGGCAGTCAGCCATTGCGCAACGTTATCACGCAGTCGCGGGTCACCGGCATCTGGCCCGTAGCACAGAGCCGGGTAGGCAGTGGGCTTGTGCTGGAGCACATTGTGGGATGCTCTGTCGAGCAGATGGGTAGGGAGCAAAGACAGATTAGGCCATCTGGTACCGTTAGCAAATGACTCAGGGGCAGAGGGTCTTATTGGGCCGCGTCTTGTCCGGAAGTGAACATGCGGGCACAGAGATGGACGTGCCCTCGTAGAAGATTGATGAGCTTTTTGGAGCTAGTTTTGGAAGCGGCCACGTCAGGGAGCACAAAGGTCTTCAGGATCTGATCTGCAATTGTTTCGCCACCGCCCATGTTGGCACGAGTATCGAATGCTGATGGCGCCGGATTGAGCGATGGTGAGTAAGGCGCCGGGGGGGGGGTACAACCAGGGACCGAAGTGGCTAGCGCGCAGGTATGGGACGACTCTGTTGCTGGGCGGGGCAACGTGGTCTACAGTGCCCGACAAGGTGTGTCAGAGGAGGGTGTGAAGAAGGAATCAATTGTCTTGGGCGTGTCTGCAGTAGGTGTATGTGTGGCACAGGTGTGTTGCCCCAAACCACGTTCCTACAAAAGGCTTGACATGGGTGATGTGGCTTAGGTGCGTGTGTGTGTGCGTGTGTGTGTGCGTGTGTGACACGCTCATGATGCACACTATCGATACGGGAAGTGGTACGTCATCCGCGTCGCTAAAATTTCCCTGCGGACGTTCCCCCAAGGCCCTGGTTTCCTGTGCCCGGGCATCAGCAGCCGGGCGCTGTCTTGTATACAGGCAGCAGAGGCGTCGCCATGAGCCGCTGGTAAGAGCTGCTCCCCGTGAACAGGCGGAGAGACAGGGCGAAACAGTAACGGTGGCAGTGGCAGTGGCAGTGGCAGTGACACAATGCGAATGGGCATGGGCCTGTCCGGGAGACGAGGCGGGCCCCTCTGGCCGCAATATGAGGCCCAAGGCCTAAACCAGCACACGCAAAAGGGCCCTGGACTAGGCGCAAAGGGGGTTTGTCCAGTGGGGGACTGGGGTGCCATCGTACCCGCACACTCACACTGTAAGTACCAGTAGAGTAGAAGAGGCATCGTGACAGCTGAGGGCTGGAGGCCAATGGGAGCCCGCACTGCATGACCCACGTTGTTGGCCACTGGCCCCGGGACGCTGCCGGTGCACGCACGAGCGTCGTCGTGACACTGCCGCACTTGCGACAGATCAAATATAGATCACCTAGTCTTTTTCACAAAGCTTTGGGCCTACCGTGCGTTATAAACCTCACCCATCAGCCGGGCGCCCTGCCTGCATAGAGACTTGTGTTGCTGCTGCTGCTCACTGTGCCCTCACTGACCCCATGCTGCTCGACACATAGCACATTTCCTAACCCTCGACCATTCCGCCGCCTACACCTCTCCACGGCTCTCTGTGCCACGTATTGCCCTACCACTCGCACCTGCCCTCACCATGTTGGGCGAAAAGAAGAAGGCCACCAACCGCCTGTCGAGCCTCTTCTCCGTCGGATCATCCTCCGAGTCGTCGGCAGCCTCTATCAAGAGCAGCCCGGCCCCGTCGTCAGAATCAAGCAGCCGCTTCTCCAAAGTTCGCAACCGCATCTCCTCTGTCAATCTCCTCACCCCAGAACCCCCGCAACCCGTCGCCCCCAAGTCGCCCAAGTCGCCCAACCCGGCTTCTGTCGCAAACGCCAGCCTCCACCCCGTCGTCCCCGCTGATCTCGAGCCCCTTGAGCCGCCGCCATTGCTCGACGTCTCTTCGCATCCATCCACCCCGTCCAATAGCCGCCCCACGACCCCGAGCTTAGACCCAAATTCCGAGGGTCGGCTGAAAAAACTGCGCAGAAAAAGCATCCTGTTTGGAGGCGGGCCGGCCAACGGAGCCGATCCGGCCGCGCCAGGGAACGCTGCCAATGGCAACCCGCCAGCATGGATTGTCGGACACAAGGGCAAGGTACCATATGATCTCAAGGCGTTGCTGGACGGTGAAAAGGTAGGCTGTTGGTGCTGGCTATTGCAGCGGTATCGAGTGCGCTGACATGATGACAGGTGCCCGAGTTGTGGGACGAAACAGGAGATACTTTTGTCTACCTCTTTCCCCGGACTTCTGAAAAAGGCGCTTCCTTCCGTATCGACTCTTCTGTCTATGCAGCTTCGCAGTTGCTCACACGCCTCGTGCACGGCAGTCTCTACAGTGACGTTAGCGCCATTCCTCCTCTCGAGCTAGCCGAGAGGACGTCACGCCGCGTCTCTGGCGAACCCTGTCCCGACCACTCCAGGGCTGCATCCCCCGAGCAGAGTCAAATAGGAAGTTCCGACGAGTCCAAAGGCTCAAGAGCGCTCAGCGATGCTGTAGAAGATGACCACTCAGAGAAGCATTTGTATATGCCCATCTCACTAAGTTCAGACTCTGCCATCACGCCACACGAGCCTAAGCTCAACACTCAGGACACTGATACCTTGGTCACCTACCGCAATTTCTTCGCTTTTCTCATTGGGCAATCGCTAGTTGCCACTGAACGCCATTCGGATATTTTTGACATTTTCCTGCGAATAGGAGACATATTGTCCCACTATGCCTTCTCCAACGTCGACGGTTCTACCTTTGGTGAAGTCGCTGCCTCGAGCTTTGACTGCTATGTTGACGAGTTGGCACTGGCCGATGTGCGACACAGCCGCGAGAAAACTATTGAAGCCATTGTCCTTGGCGAAAAGCTGCGTTCCATGGCACTCTTCACTGAGGGCTTTGTTCACGCTGCCGGGAAATACGACAGCATCAAGGAATACAACTCTCCAAAATTCGCCATGATCAGCGCCAAGACGGCGACACGACTTCAGCGTGCTGCCATGGATCTCGACAATCGAGAAGCCACCATCAATGGAAAGCTCAAAGACTTTGAATTCCCGGCCATCTTCTCCGGAATCATGAACAGTGCCATGGCCTCCGAAGGCAAGGTCATAAGCTTCAAGAAATGGAGAGCTGCTTTCAACACAACCCGGTCGTTCATTCTCGATTATTACAGGCACAAATACGGCTCATGGCTACCCAAGGCCAAGTCGAAGAAGAACGATCTTACAACAGGTGGTCTCAATCGACTGGTACTGTTGGAGATATATCGCGACATGTCTAGTCTCTATGATCTTCTCGTAGACAGGAAGAACCTAACGAATCGCACGGCTGACGGCTTCATTGCTGAGGATGAGGGCACAGATATTAAATCGGTTGTCTCACGTACGCTCAGGAAAGTTTTGAGCGAGTACGACCGCAGTACTCCGCCTGTGCAGCCACCCGTACCTTTCGATCTACCACTGTATCCCACATTGCCAAACGCCATGACTGGAAACGCAAAGCAGGATGCAAAAGCGCGAGGAAAGAAGATACACAAAGACGAAATTGCCAAGCTGCTGAAAGAATCGCACAACGCCGATTCTGAACAACAGACGCCGTTCTTGGATGCATTCCGTGTGTTTGAATCCAAGCACGCCGCGGGCTCTTCGTTGGACGATCTTTGGGATCTAAGGACAGGACAGTGGCTGTTCCTCTATGCCGTCATACAATCGCTGCCCATGTTACTAGTCGATGCACCCGGTGTGAGATTCACCGAAGGCGTCGAGTACTTTCTGTGTGAAGTACCTCGAAGCGGTGTGCCATGGGCCCGTGAGGATACGTTACGGACACGAACGTGGTTCGGTGTTGCGGGAGGCGCGCAGGTGGTTAGCTTACCCGCGGACATTGTCGAACACGGAGTCGAAGGTGTATTCCGGCGGTCCCACTGCTGGAAGAAGGCGCAACTTTGGGCGGCTGACGACACACTCTTGAATGCTGCCATGCAAGAGTTGAATGGACATGCTTCGCTCCTGCCGCCTCCTGGACTGCTCGATCCTTCGGGGAGTAGCATCCGTGACAGGTCTCAGAGCCCAGACAGACGCCGTGAGAGCGTCATGAATCTGGGACTCGAGGCGCTGCCGTTACCTCCAGGTGTTGCCCCACCCATGTCGACCGGTTCACCTTCGCGAAGACCCGAATCGAGCAGTGACCCGAGTAAGACGTTTGACGACATATTGGGAACTTCGCCTTCGAGCCCCCAGTCCAAGAAGAAGAAGAAGAAATGAGCAGACCATGGCAAGTGAGACTGTGCCATGGGATGGGAAGGCAGCATGTAAAGTTTTGATTTTGACTTTTTTTTTTACCCTGTTCGTTGATACCGCGTAATGTTTGGTAAATGCATGATGGAATAGCATAGGTGGGTTTTTGTAATCTTTGTTGTGTTGTCGCATTTATGTGCATTCGGGCTTTATATCATTTTAGACAAAACATTGCTATAGGAGAGGGGCGGTTTTCATAGTCGACTTGAAGTCGCGCCAAAAATGCAGTCATGACGTTTGTGGTTAGTTCCCGCGCGTATCGCTGCCGATATCGTTGCGTCTGTACTTGCCCGCACGATTACATCTCTCCGGCCCAGTTCACATATTTTTGAAACTTTGCTCGCTCCTGTTGCGATTTGGTGCGTCGTGCACTCGCCAACATGACGTCTTCTTTGCCTGGCAACCGCGACCTGCCTGTGTCGCAATTCGACCTCAGCACCTACTGGGGTCGGGTGCGGCACTCTGCCAATATTTCAGACCCGAGGTGAGAGTTATTGCGCACCAAATGGATTTGCTTGCGCGACTTGGGTGTAGTGAGTACCACTACCTTTAGTTTCTCGACCGCACCTTTGTTGTTCCCAGCGCACACCGTTTCTCTAGCAAAGCCTGGGTTGACCATGCATGATGCAGGACGTTACTCACATCCGCCGCTGGTCTCGAAAATGCGAAGAAGCTCGTCACCGCCTACAAGACAGGCAAGATGGCAGAAATGACACCAGAGCTCTGGGACGCAAAGAAGATAATTGATTCAACAATTCACCCAGGTACTATACTCGGAGAAGTTGCACAATGAGGGGGAGACGCTGACGTATTCCAAGATACGGGAAAGCCAGTCTTCCTGCCCTTTCGCATGTCCTGCTTCGTATTGACAAACTTGGTTGTTACAGCTGGTATGCTCACACCAGGCCTTGGGGTATGCAACTCTGCGTTGTGTTGGGTAGACAATATGCTGAGCAGAAACAGACGGCAGGGACACTCGGATGGCAAGTGACGAACCAGTCGGTCAATGTCGGAATCAACTTCTCCAACGCGAACAAGTCGATCCCTCTCTCGACCTCGACCATTATCAAATCATACCTCCTTGCTGTCAGCGCATCTTGCGGTGTTGCCGTCGGCCTGAACGCGCTAGTACCCCGCCTCAAGAGCCTATCGCCAAATGCAAAGCTCATCGCGGGGCGTTTGGTGCCATTCGCAGCTGTCGCTACAGCAGGTGCGCTCAATGTCTTCCTCATGCGTGGTGAGGAGATCAGGCAGGGCATTGATGTTTACCCAGCCTTGTCGGAGATCGACAGGCATAGGGTGGAGACTGGTGATCTAGAGGTCAAGCCCCTAGGTAAAAGCAAGAAAGCTGCAACGCTTGCTGTGGGAGAGACAGCGCTGAGCCGAGTGCTCAATGCTACGCCCATTATGGTTCTGCCGCCCCTCGTCCTTGTCCGATTACAAAAGACAGAGTGGCTCAAGCAGAGGCCAAGAATGGTAACTCCAATCAACTTGGGTGAGTCGAACGTGAAACGCAGTGACATGACGACAGCACCCGCTAAAGCGCGAACAGGCCTTATTTTCACCACTTCCATCTTTGCACTCCCACTTGCGCTCGCTGCATTTCCGCAACGCCAGGCTGTTAGCGCAAAATCTTTGGAGCCTGAGTTTCATGAGCGAGGCGGCAAGGATGGATTAGTGGAGTTTAACCGTGGGATATGATGGACCGGCACCACCCACCGACGAAAGGACACGCTATCATCTTTGCTTGACCGGGGCCATGACGTCTAGGCACTGATGCAAGTCATTCGATGCATATTTATGTAGAGCACAACTGAAGACAGAGTGCAGCTCCAGATCGCGAGCTCAACAGCGTTGCTGGTATGCAATGCGGCGAAGACATGCTTCCTGGCGATGTGATTGGCTTAACTGGAGTAAGCACAGGATCTCGAGAGCCGCCACATCGAGTGCTCGACCTTGTAGACGAAGATAAGACCAGATATGTCTTTTTGCAGAATGATCGAGGCAGCCGTTAAATTAGCCTTGTTTAAGATAACTGTTTAATTTGTGACGTGGGTTGGTGCTCAAAAGTCAAGCTGGCCTCTTGAGAAAGACCAGGTGTCAAATAGTGTCAGAACAGGGTAACTCTTGGCTGCATTTTACTACGAAACCACCACCATTCCACGTTTCCACGTTTTGTCAATCACGATCTCGACCAACACCCTACTCACCGCTTTTTACTGGGATTGATTCCCTTTCTTTCCTTACCCTTCTTCCCTATTCTACGCCCTCGTCTGTTCTTGAACGCTATATACCCTACTTGCGCCCTGCGGAGCCCGCACATCCCACTACAAGTGTCCCGCGCCTGCGGTTAGCGACACATTGCCTCTTTCCTCACACAACATGGCGCCACCCGGACGCCGGAGAGGCCATCTCTCGCCCGCAACTGTCCTCCTAGGTCTCGCATTCCTCTTCTCATCGACCGCCTCCGCTGCGTCAGCTATTATCGGTGTCGATCTCGGTACCGAATACATCAAGGCTGCGCTTGTGAAGCCAGGAAACCCTCTTGAGATTGTCCTCACCAAGGACTCGAAACGCAAGGAGACTGCGGCTATTGCCTTCAAGCCATCCAAAGGCGGTGCCCTCCCTGCAGGCTCCTATCCCGAACGCTTCTACGGTGGCGACGCAATTGCGCTCCAGGCACGGTTCCCTGGCGATGTGTACCCTAACCTGAAGCACCTTTTGGGCATCTCGAATGAGGATGATGCGGTCGCCACGTACAAGGAGAGATATCCAGCCCTCGAGGTTACTGCTACAGAGGGACGCCCAACGGTCAGCTTTGAGAGTCATGTGTTCAGCGAGGATAAATCATACATGGTTGAGGAGCTGTTGGCTATGGAACTGAAGAATGTTAGAGAGAACGCAAAGGCGCTAGCAGGCAAGGGCTACGATGTCCAAGAGGTCGTTTTTACTGTTCCAGCCTTCTACACTGTGTCCGAAAGGCGTGCACTAGAGGTTGCGTCACGGCTGGCAGGCCTCAAGGTTCTCGGCGTTATTTCCGATGGTTTGGCGGTTGGTCTCAACTATGCCACCGGAAGGACATTCCCCGATATCACCAAGGATGGCAAGCCAGAAATCAACATGGTATTCGACATGGGCGCCGGTTCAGCGTCTGCCACAATTGTCAAGTTCCAGGGCCGTTCGGTCAAGGATGTAGGCAAGCGCACTAAGACTATCCAGGAAGTTCAAGTCATGGGCACTGGATGGGACAGGACGCTTGGAGGCGATGCATTGAACTCGCTAATCGTCGATGATATGGTTTCTACATTCATCGAGCTTCTTGCAGCCAAGAGCGCATCTTTCACAGCTGAGCAGGTTAAGACTCACGGACGTACTGCCGCTAAACTTTTCAAGGAGGCAGAGAAGATTCGCCAGATGCTTAGCGCCAACAAGGATACATCTGCCTTTTTCGAAAGCTTTTACGAGGACGTTGACTTCAGGTACAAGCTCACTCGTGCCAAGTTTGAGGAGCTTGCAGCAGCCTATGCTGAACGCGTTGATGGCCCCATCAACCGAGCTCTTGAAGCTGCTGGTCTTACTTTGGCTGACATCGACTCTGTTATTGTTCATGGGGGTGCAAGCCGCACTCCCTTTGTTCAGGCTCGCCTTGAGGCAATTGCTGGAAAGGGCAAGATCAGGGCCAACGTTAACTCTGATGAAGCCGCTGTTTTTGGCGCTGCCTTCAAGGCTGCTAGTTTAAGTCCCTCTTTCCGTGTCAAGGAGATTCGCGAGTTGGACACCCAGGGCTACAACCACGGTTACAAGTACATGTTTGACCTGAAGGATCGTGACCAGAAAATCTTCACGCCCAACACCAAAATCGGCATCGTCAAGGATCTGCCTTTCCAAATGATGGGCGAGTTCGAGTTTTCCATGTACCAAGCTGTGCCTGGAGCTAACGGTGCTATCTCAAAAGAACCTACTCTTCAGTTCAAGAGTGGTAACTTGACTAGAGTTATCACCAAGATGATTGACGAGGACAAGTGTGATCGCGAAAGCTTCAACAATTACGTCAAGGTCAGATTGAGCCCCATCACTGGTACTCCTGAAATTCTCTCTGCTTGGGTTACTTGCGAAAGCGAGTCTGAAGAGCCCAAGGCTGGTATCGTTGATGGTGTGAAGAACTTATTCGGCATGGGCGGCAAGAAGGACCAGGAAGCCCTGAAAGACGACGAAAGTTCTTCATCATCTGCGTCCAAATCTTCCTCTTCCTCTTCTGCCTCTTCTTCGTCGTCGTCATCCGCTGATGCCGAGAACACTGAGGCCGCCAAAGCTACTGAAAAGAAGATCAAAGTCGTCAAGTCCGCTCATACTTTTGATGTTGTAGAGCTAGGTTACAAGAAGATTCCTCGCAAGGAGTTCAAGAAGATGCAAGACAGGTAAGATCCGTCTTTGTTGGACGCCCTTTATTTAATTTTCCCGAAATTAACAAAGGACAGGCTCGCTGCTTTCGATGCGTCAGACAAGGCCCGTCGTGCTCGTGAAGAGGTTCTTAACTCACTGGAAGCCTTCACGTACCGCGCACGTGACTACCTAGAGGATGAGTCGTTCATTAGTGCTTCCACTTCGGCGGTTCGCTCTACTCTCGAGGAGAAACTTGGTACCACCTCGGACTGGCTTTACGCGGAAGGTGCAGACGCGGATGAGCAGACGCTCCGAAGCAAGCTCAAGGAGCTCGAGGACCTTGTTAAGCCTGTTCTCAACCGCAAGACCGAGGCGTCCAAGCGTCCTGAGGCCCTCAAGGAGCTCAAGGATACCATTGATCACATCAAGGAAGTTGAGCAGCTTGTTGACGGGCAGATCAAGACACAAATAGCGGAGAGCTCTAAGAGCAGCGAGGCTGTAGCTCAAGCATCTGCGTCTCCATCCACGGACCCTATGGACGAGCTCGACGAGGAAAAGACACCTGCGGAGCCTGAAATTACCGA